TGGATTCAACTAATAGATTCAATCAATGTATATCAGTTGCACTGAATTTCTAAATCCAGTCACGTATTAACGGGGTATGATTGACAGTAATTGCTATGTCACTGTCACTAATATTAGATATCAGGAAATGAAAATTTTGGATTCAGATATTTTGAACCAAAGATTGTGCCTGTGAAAGATTATGAAGACATGGTAAATCATTTTGCTTAACCAGGGTTAGTAAGGACCAACGCATGACAAGTCCTCAATACTTCTCCCAATAAAATACTTGTTTGCGATGGTATAAGCTGACAACATAAACGATATCAGTCAACTTACAATCTTATCGAGTCTTACAATTTACAACAATACTCCTACAAGGAACACTAATTGGCATGTAAATTATTGAAATTGCGGCAAATCAGAGAGGTATGTATCATTTCGTCATAGTAAAAAATACCCATTGTCCAAATATGTTCGTAGCAAAATTTATTTATTGTTTTATATGAGCAAGCAGTTCAGCAACATTACCTTAAATGGTAACTTATCCATAACCTGCTCATAGTAGATTAATGCTTCCTTAAGCTCTCCAACATCCATCAATGTGTCACCATCCTTTAGTGCCTGCATATAAAATTATTAATTTTAGAAATGCCAACGCTGTATAATTTTATTGGATTCTTTAAGATGAGATGATGGTGAAGGGCAAGATTACAAAACCATAATACTCAAGATTTTGTTATAAGATTTACACGTTCAAGAGTTTCAGTTTCCAATTTTGTATAATACCGTGTCTGAAAATCACAGAAGCGTAAGGTCACTACAAGACTCTATATACAGGCTGTATTCATTTATTTTGGCATATGAAATAATTCAGAGAATTGTCTCAGTAGCATATGCTTCTCTTTAGGATTCTATGATGCAACACAGCCAAGTGTGATGCCCAAGGTCTCTAGGGGATTCCAAGAATCCTACTAGTGTGATGCTATGTTCTTCACTTCTCTACAGAAAACATCAATCGCACACAAGTTACACAATCAGTAACATTGCTATATATTTTTCTTCCAGTCTTACATCAGTCAACCATAGTCGAAATCTGGAAGTATTTAGAATGGAAACCCAAAATCTATTTTCCTTTTATAGAGAGCTAGCAAATTTTAGTTTAGGATTTATAAGGGATCATATAATTTGGTTTTTGTTCTTTTTTTAACAAATTTACTGCATTCATGGATAACTCCAACAACATCTAGTTTAGTTAAGATCTAGACCAGTGGCACCACCCAAAACACCAACCTGACACCACTAGAATTTGACTTCAAACTTTTAACCTAATTTTAAATCCATTTCCAGTACCCAGAAGAATTTGATTGACCTATCACAATATTATTATTCATCATGATCCCTACTCAGTAAAACATCTCAAAACCTGCAAATAACAAAAGAATTTTAGAAACATTTCAAATTCCTATATGGGAATGCTGTCTGAGCATTATATAAAAATAAAATAAAACAATAAGTTCAGATATGAATAAACCAAGTAGCCTATTCCTGTTAATTGCAAATAGAGAAGGAAACATATTCTGCAATGACATTATCTGAAATTCGACTTCTATGAAACAAACAAATGAATAGAGTAAATTAAGAAATGACAAAAGGAAGCAAGGGAAAAGGGTTTTCAGGGGAAGAAAATATTTTGGCATACAAGCAGACAACGAAAAATTTCAATAGAAGCAAACCTTCTCACATTCAGATCTTAGCTTTGGATCAATGTTCATGCCCATTTTACTCTTGTAATCAGCAACTAATTGTCTTGTGCGTGCTTCTTTAGCAGCTTTTTCTTCAGCTGTTTCCAGCACTTCCCCAGGGTGTATAACTCTTCCACCACCAAACTGAACAAATAAAGAAACTCAGTTAGATCAATCACATTTTCAATCCCTTCCCCTAATACAGAAATACAGCAGCTGTTTCACTGTCACAGTAATATTCCCAATTCAAAAACTTCACTCTATAAATGGTCATCTCACAGTACAAAGTTGTGAATCCATTTACAGTGTTAACATTTACCAGTGTGAAGTTCAAGGATATAAACCAATTGTCTTGTTGCCATCAAGTCAGATAAATAACATCAATCTATGGTCAAATTAGTTCATAAAAGATTTTTGCACCTATTTCTTCAATAGTTTTAAACACCAAAGAGTAACTAGAATACATACTACCAGTGGAAACTTGAAACATGATCTAACAAAATATAAGTGAACATCTTCCCTACATGATATGTACTAAGAACAACGCATCAGCTACTTCCAGAGTCAACTGAGGAATTCACATAAGATGAAATTAAGCTCTTGTTTCCATCTTTTCAATTTAATTTGATAGAGCAGTCTGTGAGGGAGCCAAACTCTTCAATGAAGATTTACAATATATGAAGGCATTTAAAAATAACCTATAGCTGCGAAACGCGACCCATCTATTTCATTCTTAGGATTGATTGCATATGGTTCCTGGGCACTTCTTCAAATATCCGTTTAAAAATGAATGCCCCTATTCATGCATAATGTTATATGTACGTATCAAACACGCTAATGTAACACTAACTGTGACATCAACTGTCATACCGTTTTTGAAATGTCGTTCGGTCTAGGAAATACACCCCATGAAGAAACTTTTGGCTTGTAAAGATCTGAGTTGTCTCCTTGAGTCTGCTCTGGCTTCCGTGCCACTGCATCAAAATTTCTAGTGTCCCCGACTATAATCTCAACGTCAGGTGAGTTCCCTTCTGGAAAATAGTCTGCTATTGGAATCAACCCAGCTGGCAGTCCTCTACCCTCCTTCTTATCCGCAAAGCCAAGTCCCACAAAATCAATACTTGAAACTGACAATTTTCCCTTCTTGTCTACTATCTCATTCCCCAAGTTTCCCCCAGTACTTTCCTCCAAACCTATAAGACAATTGAAATACAAATTTTACCCCACATTTTAAATTACATAATTCATTCTTGAGCAGAACCTCCAATGGTATTTTGTGTTTGCTATCACCTTAGAAAACTCCAGTGCATTGCTCAGAAAAATAATGGAAAAGCAAACGCAGAAAAACAAAAATCAAAACAGAACTTATAGATTATTAAACCTTCTACCATTGATGAAGAAGCAAATAAACAAACACCTAAATTTATGTAAGTCTAACACAAGTCCCTGTTTCACTTCAATAGAACATGGAAACTGTCACTCTTCAACTCTAATTTCAAATCTTCTTTTTTTTCAAAATTACCTGAAATTTTGTCACTCTCCCCAGCATTAATGTCACCACCCACAATGCCTTTACTCTTCTTATACTCTTTAGCTTTCTCCATTGCAATCTTAACCGCAGCAGGCACTTCCTTCTTCCCACCGCCAGCTCCATCCGGGCCCGACTCACCATTTCCAGCAATCCCATCACCATTCTTAACTGAGTTTTTCTCAATTTTCAATTTCTTGTTCATTTGCACTGACTTCTTATACGCCTTGGCATTCTCCAGTGCGAGCTTGACAGGGTCCGTTGGCCCAGGCTCGGCTTCCGGCGTTGTTTCGGGCGAATTTGGAGAGTTGGGTTGTGAAGATTCAGCATTGGGTGGGTTCAGAGAGAAGGAGAGTTTGAATGGTTTTAAAGGGTGGGGCTTGTTAAGGTTTGTGGAGGGGAAAAGAGTGGGTTTTGTTGTGGAAGAGATGGTGTTGAGGGAAGCGAGCCATGAAGGTTGAAGAGAAGCCATTAGGGTTTGCAGAGTGTAAGTCAGTAAGTCAGTGTGCTTTGCAAGAGGGTGTTTCTGAGGTTGGAAAATGGTTTGTGGCCATGGAGGAACTCAAAAGGGGTTCTGGTTTTTCAGTGATATCTATATTGGTTCTATTTGAACCGAAGAACCGTTACTACTATGGAGGTCATATCCTGATATTTACGGTCAACAGTCAACTCAAAGTTTGGGCTCGGCATGGTAATTTAATGGTATTCCATTGTTGAAATGTTCCCAAATTCAAGTTTCTTTATTTTCTTTTTTTATAAAAGCGTATTCTAGGAGGAGGAATAAAACCTACGACCTCGGGTGCGGAGTTAAATACTCTTAACTACTGAGTTAGAGGACCCCTCAAGTTCCTCTAATTGACAATAGCCAGTCCTTTTTGCACTCTTCGACACTTCAGCTAAATTCAAGGACTTTGGATTATTCAGAAGTGTTTTGACTATAGTTCTGTAACAATAATTTTGAGTGTGCGCTCTTGGCCCATTTTGCATAGTCCTTAATCTTATAGCTGATAGTTTTGTGAACTTGAGGAACGTTTTGTTATTAAAAACTCTTACATTATCTCATTCTTTTAACCTCTCTAAATTCCTCTCAAAATTTGGTTTTGGTGGATCGCTGTTACCGATGTTGTCACCAGAGTCATGGTTGCTACCGTTTGTTTATTGTCATAAGAGTCCTGGCCTTTCAATCTCTTTGTATTCTCATGAAAAGACCGGTAGTCATTTCTCATTCTTCCTGGTTTGAGCTTTTGTGGTAACGAATTTGGAGAAATATGGTGCCCGTGGGACAGTGAATTATTATTTATGATTATTCAAGCACTGCATGAACACTATCTTTATAAGCAGACTCATGCGCTGTAATGATTCATATCTAGTTCACAATACAGTTAAAAAAACAATCTCGTTTACATTTATAAATACCAAGAGCAATAATTAATTGACTTCTAAACTTTCCAGCCTCCGGCAATCTCGATCCACGTCCAATCTTTTCCAGCAACATGCTCCAAGCTGCCATTCGAAACAAGGCACCAATCCGATTAACTTTACCCCATCATCTAAATACTCTTAGTGAGTGATTTACACAAGTGAAGCCCCCATCAATCATAAGATTATCTCCACTTATGTACTTGGACTCATCACTTGCTAAGAAGAGCACAGCATTAGCTACATCATCAACAGTCAATTCTACTCCTTGCAAGTTGGCATTTCTCCCTAGAAACGAACGGAAACCTGCCCAGGCATCTTCAGTTCTCTCCTCCTCGTGCAAGTGAGCCAAAGCCAAATTTGTCGCAACTCCGTAAGGAGAAACACAGTTAACACGAATCCCATGAATTCCAAGCTCGGCAGCAACATTCTTGGTGAGCCCCAATACAGCATGCTTGGACCCTGTGTATGCATGTGGTCCCAAGCCTCCTAAAGCACTTGAAACACTGGAAAGGGAAATTATACTGCCCTTCTTCAGTGGGATCATTATCCTAGCTGCGTGTTTCATTCCAAGGAAGACTCCCTTCACATTAATATCAAATACCTTCTCAAACTCGGATAAGTCTGCATCGCGGATGTCGGGACAAGGTGAGCCTGACACCCCAGCATTGTTGACGATGATATCAAGTGTGCCATATTTATTGACCGTGAAATCAACTGCACGGCTAACATCATCCTCTATTGTGACATCACAATGGAAATAACTAACATTTGGGTCACCACCGAGCGATTCGCAGACTTGCAAGGATAGGTTGTCCTGCACATCAACTAAACAAACTTTTGCACCATGTCTGTGGAATAGGCGCACAATGCTTTCTCCAATACCGGTGGCTCCACCAGTCACCAATGCCACTTTCCCTGCTAACCTGAGCAGAAGAAAAAGCAATTGAACATCTATAAGAAAATGGAATGTGCGTACTTCTCTGGTATGAGATTGGGAATGGTGGCTTTAAAAAATTCCAGAATTCTGTGCTACACGTGCTCGCCCATGCACATAAAAACACAATTATTTTGAGAGATGACAATCTACTATTTGATCTCTAACACCAATTTGGCTGCCCTGAGGAAACAGATTATCTGAATAGGTTAGTCATTTTCAAGACATCCATGAAAAGAGTCAAGGACACATCTATTATATAATGGGAAGTTTCAATTGAGTCGATCGGGCAAAATTGCACTTTTCAAGAAGCAAACAGATAATGCAAATGGTATAAAGCCTCTGAAGTTTAAGCAAACAGTTCAAATTGATTGCCGTATGTAACTTCCTTCCCTTTTTTGGTTGTCGTTTCAAAGCCCAAGTCCATTTGCAGTATTTGTTTGTTCTCTTTTGTAGAAATATATTGCTGACTCAATTTGTAGGGTAAAAGTTATCCATATATTTCATTTTTCTTCTCACACAACTAACATCAAATTTTAAAATTTTGACAAAACTGTGATAGAAAATTTAGCAACCCAGATAAGTCGACACATGAATACAAGTTACAAATCCAGAAAAGATAATCCATTAACTGAAATGAGAAACATGCTCACCAGATGCTTACTACTATAAATACCAGCCAACCCAAGCAAGAGCAGGGCAAGTAAAACCCCATTCAATCTCAGTTCAACTTCCAGAAACATACTCAATCTTAGGCACACCAAAGACTAAATCAAACGGGTAAAATCACAAAGGAAAACCCAACCAAGTGATTTGCACCGTTAGGTTCAGTACCCGAAAATCCGGATAACAGATTCTCTGAGGAAAACCAAATCAGTTTAACAATAAAAGCAACAGTCCCAGATTGAACATAAAAAATAAACAAATATAAACACTTGAGATCCACAGCAGTAGACGGCTGGACTGTATAAAAGAAAGAGAGGTAGAAGTTTGTTACCTCTGGCTTGGAACCGAATCCACTTCAGTCATGATGGAGAAGGTGCCTCAACTCCTTGTTTCTGTAATGTGTTCGACTGTTTGTTGGGCTTCTTTCTTTCTCTGTCTTGTGCTGTGTGGATTTCTTTCTTTCTCATGTGTAGGACCGTTTGAGTGGGAATCTTCTTTTTTTGGCCGCAAAAGCAATAGTCTGAACTTGACGGGCAGAGATATCTGACACACACAACTATATCGTTTGTGGGAATTTGAAACTAAGATTTGCAAGTCAAGATTCTTTTCAACTGTTGACAGTGGAAATCTTTCTTTGTCTATTTGTTTCCACCCATATGTGCATTTTCTGCGGTTTTGCTCCCTAAACTATTTGTATATTGTCAATTTAGCTCCTTAATAACTTTTTCAGTAAATTAAAGATTTCAATTATTTAAAAATCGCTAATTGGGGACCTACAGTCAATTTTTTCAAAATTCCATCCAAATTTCTGTCCAAATTAAGGATAAATTTGTGATTTTTTTTTTAAAAAGAGAGAAAATAAAAACATCTCTCTCTTCCCTTTTGTCTTCGAATAAAACAGGGTTGGGATTTGTCATCATCGAGTTCAAGGACATTAATTGTTATGGTTTTTGTGGATTAGAGGTGGCGGAAGGGCTGAGTCTTTGGAGGTTGGGATGTTGAGAGATTGGAGGGCTCTGAGTTGGTTTGGGTCTAAAGAGCTGGAAGATGGTGAATATGGGGTTGTGGGGGTGGTGTTTGGTGGGGTTGAGGAGGAGGTAAGAGATGGGGTGGGGGGAAGGGGAGGAGCAGAGGCGGAGAAGGTGGTGGAGATAAGGAGGTGGAAAAGTAGAGTAGGCAGCAATGTTGGTGTTGGGCTTAGGATGGGTCTTGGGTGGGGATGAGGGTTATATGATGGAGTTGGGCTTGGGAGTTTTTTGGGTAGAGAGAAAAATATTGGGTGAGAGAGAGAGAGA